CAGCTTAGAAACTAAGTATAAGAAAAGAGACCACAGATGGAGACAGATGGGGGCATGCAAGGAAACAATGAGACATTATTAGTCAGTATGATCGGCAGTGGTCTCACCTTGCCAGCAGCCTACCTGTTGTAAAGGGCCTACGGTTGCCAATTTTGGTTGGACGCATTCCTGGAGCTTTCATCACACGACAATCTTTAGTTAAAAATTGATCTTTAGTTCCTGGAGACTCCAGGGCAATCCTGGAGGATTGGCAACCCTAAAAGGGACCGATTATCAAAGGGCTAATCTGCAGCACATTCTGAAAATTCTTTACGATATCTCAAGTTGGGCACTCAAAATCACTAGGCACTTTTGAAAAATCTTGGCCTGAGGACCTGATCCTTTGTTACTATGAATGGCAAAACTTCAGTTTAAGCCAATAGGAGCAGGTTATAAATACAGAACCTCTTGCTAGCGGAGGGAAGAGGTCCTGTTAAGGACCTAACACAGCTTAGTTACTGGAAAGGGAAATCACACCATTTAAGCTTGCTGGAGCTCTCTAAAGAAGAAAGCAAAACAGCATACGAGGTGGAAGCAGTGGCTGTGGAGTGATTTAACCATTTATATTTTTCACAAAGATAGTGTGCTCAATGCTGTACAGAACAAAAGCACAAAGTCCTGGCCCTGCAGAATATGCAACGTACTAGAAATCATAGGAAAAGTTCCTGGTATAAGCCTTCTACAGAAATTACAACTAACCCTTTCAGACGGAGGCAGCCAAACCCATATTGAGGCATCTAAATACATAGTCTTACCTGCAGAGGTGCAGAGAGCTCACAACTGGATCTGCAGGTGTGCATTCCACTGAAAGTCGGGCATTTATTAAGGCACCAGTTCAGTAAAGCGTATGCTTAAATTCCACTGAAGTAAGTGCAATCTAAACACGTGCTTAAGTGCTTTGCTAAACTGGCATCTTAATGCCCAGAAATGGATCTGAATGCTTAACTTTGAGCACTCACGTTTGAAAGTTTTCTAGTTTTAGCAGCTAAAGAAGGAACGGTTTGATCTGGGCCCATATTAAACAACTGGTTATGGGACAGGCACCAGTGGGAATAAATGGCCTTTTCTGTGGTAACCTTGCCTGCAAAAGGTCAGTTCTGAACTCGAGCAAGTCCATAGAAGAGCACTCAATACAGCAGAGTTTAAAGCAGTTGACCCGAGAGGCTAAGCTAAGAGGAAGGCGAGGATGACAGACAATTTAACATCAGCCTGCACAAAGCACTAAAGAGCACGATAGAGAATAATCCTTCATTGGCAGGATGATGGTCTAGACAGACCTCAGAATGTCTCTTCTGTATCTTATATCTATGATTAATTCAGAGCAAAAGAGGGACTCACAATGATAACAGATTTTGTTTATCACACCGTAAGCATTTGTAATGTTTAAGATGGATCAGTTGCTCCTCTTCATCCAATCTCAACTGACAGAATGGCTACATGAATAAATACATACCCAATATGCCTCTGCTAATATAAGGGGTTAGTCCAAACTGATCAAGAAAAATTATACTAAAGCTTCAGGACATAGTCAACAGCAGGCAACAGGAAGGAACTCATCCTCTAGCCCCAGCCTCAAAATATGCTTGCCCACGACGCCTTTGGAAAAAGGAAGGGCAAAGAGGAGTGCTTTCCACTGAAACTTCAGGTATTGTCTATTGCCAGGATACTGCAGTACGTATACCAGTGGGCAGCTCCAATAGCATAGACCCCCATGTCCGTAAATCTAAAGAGCCCTGGGAGGTTTCATTTAGGTACTGTAAGGAGAAGTAGAATGGAAGTGACTATGCAGATATAGAAATACCATGCTAATCTGGGAGTGGCTATGATAAACCCTGTGTTAACCCTTGGGCTTGCCCAGAACACACTAAATGTTTTCCGGAGCCTGAGCAGACGCTGACTTATCTGAGCACTGATGCTGTTAATAAAAAAGCACTGTGCCTTCACTCTGACAAACGAGACTCCTGTGTGCTCACTAAACATTACGGCCACTGAACACTTAAATGCGAGATCTCAGAGCCATGCAACGCACTATAACTAAGGCTCTCTACTGGTATAGTATCTGCATCTAAGTTGGTTGCAGTGTTGTTGTAGCTATGTTTGTCCCAGGATAGCAGATGCAAAAGCTTTTGAGCTACACAGATCTCTTCTTCAGGTCCTTTGTAGCTCAAAAGCTTGCCTCTCTCACCAGCAGAAGTTGGTCCACTGAAAGATATTACCTCACCACCTTGTCTAATATTTGCATTTAAGGCATTAATTTCTGACAGTCTCCTGAGAACCCAGTCAAGGAAACAGGAAAATTACATCCCAGATGAATGTTGCAGTGTCAAATGTTAATATGTCTGTCATGTGACCTATTGTTTGACTCAAGAGAGTAGGCTAAGTCACCTGCCCTGGCCTTCTCCCCAGAAAACTATTTCATCTTCTTTTTGAAGTCAGGGTCAGCTTTAGAATCATAGAATATCTGGGTTGGAAGGGACCTCAGGAGGTCATCTAGTCCAACCCCCTGCTCAAAGCAGGACCAATTCCCAACTAAATCATCCCAGCCAGGGCTTTGTCAAGCTGGGCCTTAAAAACCTCCAAAGAAGGAGAATCCACCACCTCCCTAGGTAACCCATTCCAGTGCTTCACCACCCTCCTAGTGAAAAAGTTTTTCCTAATATCCAACCTAAACCTCCCCCACTGCAACTTGAGACCATTACTCCTTGTTCTGTCATCTGGTACCACTGAGAACTGAACTCTAGGCACCGTTCCAAGCATGTGCTTGGGGCGGCACTTTTCAAGGGGCGGCACTTGGTTTGTTTGTTTGTTTTTGCTTCAGTGGCGGCACCCCCCCCCCCCCCCCCTTTTTTTTTCTTTTTTTGCTTGGGGCGGCAAAAAACCTGGAGCCAGCCCTGTTTAAAGTATCAATCTTTTTGATAGTATTGTAACGGAGTTACTCTGTGCTCGCTAGGTCTCTATGTGGGGCACATCTACATGGAGCCCCCAACGAGCGGGGCACTCAAGTTGTATGAACTGTAAATAATTTCTCAGTTCACTGGCAATTCTGAAAAAAAAATTACCATCTTGGGTTGATCCGAAAACAAATTATTTTTGAAATTTTCAGCAAATCAAGTAGTCAGAAAAAAACGGTTTTGGGTCAAATGAAACATTTTGTTCAACATCGGCTGAAATGTTTTGCTTCTGAGCGTTTTAAATGTTTTTAAATTTATAAAAATAAAACAAGTAAATTTTGAAAGTCATTCTGAATCAAAAAACGTGAAACAGTTAGTATAGAAATGAAATGTTTAGATTTGTTTGGAATTATTTTTAGTTTTATTTTCCTCTGAATCAGTTTGACATATTCTACACAAAGCCACAAAATGTTTCAGTCAACCAAAATCCGCATTTTTCCCCAAAAAATTTCAGTCGAAAAATTTCACCCAGTTCCGTGGCTCCTCCTAACCATCTCGGGAAGTAGCTCTGAGAGGAAGTTCAGGGGGGTGAGCATACTTCCTGCCTGGGGGAGTAGATGAAAGTGTGTTTGAGCAGTAGCGGCAGCAGGAGACTGCACTGACTCTGGGCTCTCCTCCAATAACAATGCTGTGTCTCTATTGTTCACTGAGCTCGCGGCTGTGTAATTGTTCTGGGGACTCTGCTAGATTGTGCTAACCCACCAAAACAAAGAGCCCACGGTAACAACAGTAGAAACTGACCGCACAGTCTTACCATGTATAAAACACACAGCTTATTAGACACTGCTGCTAAACAATGCTCTTGTGTGGGAGCAATTAGAGCTATGTGCCTTGATGCAGCAGCAGCTCTTCTGCATCCCTCAAGGAATTCTCAACCACACTTGTGTGCACTTGGGTACAGCGGAGTACAATTAGAATTTCCTTTTTGTATCTGCTAGCCAACAGGGTTAGGAAGAAAGGATAAAGGATTCATATTAAAAACATAACAACCACCATACTGGGTCCTTACAATCTTTACAGGGCCCATCTGTTTGCTGGGTGTTTGTACAGCGCCTAGCACAGTGGGGCCCTGATCCATGACTAGGGCTCCTAAGCACGAGGGCCACATTAATAATAATAAATAACAATAGGTTGTTCTTATCAACAGATTTACTGAAGGTTGGACTGCCACTAGTCCTGTCCTCAGCACGCCTGGGTGCCTGAGCATGGAAAGGGAAGCATTAGCTTTGCACATCCTGACCAGTTTAAGAAGCTTGAATATTTTCAGTTTCATTCCCACCCCCACCCAATAGATTCCCCCTCATCCCAGGCGCCAATTCCTCTTCACTCCCCTTTTACTTCTCTAAAGAGGTTACAGCTCTAAATCAATGGCTGATATGTGACCTTCGGGTATAGTGCTTTTGTCTTGAGACACCTTAATGTGATCCGTTAGTACATGGGAGCAAGGAGGAGACTGACAGAGCTTCTAGACCCTCTGGACACATGAGCATGAACAAGTTTTTTCCTCTAAGTGTAGAAGGGAAAAATCCTAGCGGTTGCATTTCTTTCAGAGGTAGTAAGAGCCATGTGAACCCTAGCTGAATTTAATCCTCATTTGTAACTGACTCTTTGATTAGTCCTGTCATATTAAATGCTGTGAGAGAATGTGTCAGATGGTTAGAGCCAAGGAGTGGGAGGAAGGATTAATGGGTTCTATTTCTAGCTCTGCCGCTCACTCAGTTTGCGACCTTGGACAAGTCAACTTAACCTCTCTGTAGCTAGCTCAAGTTTCCCCCCCTGTAAAATGGGTAGAACCAATAACAGCTCACAGCATATGGCTGCTAGGCAGCTCAGTTTGTTTGTGACATCCTGGGATGAAAGGTATTGTGTAGGCAGGGGATCAGACTGTTTTTTTGAAGTATCGTCAGTGTTGTTGTGGTTTATCACTTGCGAAATAAAAGAAATATTTCTGAGCGGATGCAGCATGAGAGAGCTCCATTCACACACCTGACAGTGACATTTGTTTAACAGGAAAACTGCATTAGATCGCTACAGCCTTGAGAAAGCCGGCTTCACCCACATCCTCAATGCAGCCCATGGCCGGTGGAATGTGGACACAGGACCAGATTACTACAGTGACATGGCCATTGAGTACCATGGGGTAGAAGCAGATGATCTCACCACCTTCAACCTCAGCCAGTTCTTTTATTCAGCTGCTGAATTCATTGAAACTGCACTCCAAGATCAGAGAAGTAAGGAGGGGGCAGAGTACGGTCAGAAAGACCTTGTTTGCTACAGTTGATCTCAGTGAACATGAGTATTCATCAAAAGTAGCCACTGCCAGGGGGTGAAACAGGCAGAGACAGTCAAGGACCACCGGCAGAGGACAAACAAGCAATGGCTAATAATGGAGCTGGTCATTTCGGGAAAGTCAATGCTGGTATAGGGTTCAGGTCATCTCACAGCCAGGTCAGCCATTCAAATCAATGGGATTTGGTAGCAATCCAAGAGTCCTTACCTCCTGATGGGCCAATGTTAAGCAGCTATCTCCCTGGCAGACAGGTGTCCCTAGCACAAGCAGCACTCATTTTACACTCCTATGAAGCAAACAATCTCAGGAGGAAAGTCGTGAACTCAATGGGCCACGGAGCTAGTCTGCCATTCCTAGAGGTGGCCCCTTTCCAGTTAGCTGTGAGGCCTATTAGCAGGGCATCTGCCCAGGCTGTACTTATCCTGCGTATGTAGGACTCCAGTCTCCAAGCCTGTCACTTCAACATTTCTTACACTAAAGCATTAGGTTTGCTATAGAGACATATCAAAGCACTTTAGTACTTTTGCCATCAGATCATCTCCAAGCTGTAACAGGGATTTATTTTTGTCATCTTCCAAGCCGTAGGAGACTGAAATCACTTTGACAGCACAGATCTGGAAACATTAGTTAAAGCCTTTGTAATTTCCCAGCTTGATTACTACACTTCATTATTTGCTGACCTCCAGCAGCGTTCTAGCTAAGGGTTTAAGCTGATGTGAAGCACCACAGCCGCGACCCCACACTGTCTTTCAACATTTACTCCGGTTCTTATTTTTAAAAAAATCTCAACAGGGTGTTTTACCAGGAGCCAGCAGAGAAACTTAAGATCCTCCTGCTGACCTACAAAGCCTTTAATATCAGAGGGCCACATATCAAGTTTCCAACCTCTTGTCAACTTGTGTTCTTGGCTGTTTAGATCAGCAGCTGCTGGTTACCTGGCATACCCCCAATAACCAGCCAGGTCTTAAGCTTTCAACAAGTACAGTCCTCAGCTACAGAATTTGCCCCTTGTTAAGGCAGAAAGACAATAAATCATCACTATTTTAAAACTGAAGTGCCAGTAGCATTATGTGTTGCTTTAAGATTTGATGTTCTTAGAAGGAAGAGAGGTCCATAGGTGAAGGAAGCTACTTAAAATTGACAAGACTCCACCCAAGTACTGCTTCTGGAAAAGGTGGGAAATAGTTAGATTTTCTGGGTGGCTGAAAGCGTCTGATCTCTAGCCTCACTTCTAATCACATTCCTAGAGAGGGACTTAGGCCTAAAGAGCTCGTCTACACAAACATGTAGTTTGTGGCAAGCTGGGGTGTGAATCTAGCCCACACTACCCTGCCACAGATTAACTATCTGCGTGCTCCCTGCTGACACGCGTTGAGTTCATTAGAATGCTTTGCTCCAGTCTTCTTTAAAATGGGACTTGTTAACAGTTCTTTAGAGCACTTTGAGCATGTGCCAGCAGGGTGCACCCGGACAACTAGTCCACAGCAGGTTTGTGTGGGGTACAGTCACACCCCAGCATGCCACGAACAAAATGTTTGTGCAGACAAGTCCTTAATAGCTTTCACTTCCCCATCCTGCAGCCTTCCCTTCCTGTTCCCGCATCACAGCATGAAAAACATGGTAAACACACAGAAGTCAAGAGAGAAGGACTGTTTCAACAGCACTACATTAAAGTGCACAAGCAGGGTCTACATGGACCTGTTAGTGCACAGCACACTAGTGCACTTTAGAAATCAAAGCCCTGTCGTGCGCATTGCTGCTCCATATAGACAAGCCCTGAGAAGTCTAGTGTGCCTTGTGTACTGATAAACGGTAGGGGGAGAGACTCAAAGCAGTTTGCAAGGCTCAAGCTTCAAAGCTTCCAGTTTAAAGGCTGTGTCAAACACTCATGAAGTCTTGAGGCTCGACCAAGCATCAATGCAGCAATGAAACAGAAGCCCGACTCAGAGAATGGAATGATTCACTTATTAAAAATACCTCTGAATTCAAGAGTAACTAAATGTGTAACGCTGACACTTCTGTATGTAGCTGTTCTTCTGGCTGCTGCATTGGTAAGGAGTTTGAATAACCAGGACAGAGAGTTGTTTTGTTCTTACATACACTAGCGATATAAAGATAACCATTGCCTGTAGTAGCCCTGGAGAAAAGAGGACAAGAATGCAAATAAATTCATGTTGGGGAAACAAGGGGCACTGAATACATGTTACTCATACTGCAGCCAAGTATGGCACCATTAAGCCTCACCTTCTTGTCCAGATGGGGATGGTCATTTTAATGCATTCAGTCAAACATACACTTGCAATAGATTTAGGGCCTTTTTTTGCTGATACAGCGGTTTCAGAAGTATTGAAGTGTTCATTTTCCCCATTCAAATAGTGGGCTACAGACATAGGACATGTGAAGAGATAAGAGGCAGTTAGCCAAGCAGCACATACTCCCATCAGTTCAAGGGATCAGCCTTAAAGAAAGCGTACACAAGAGTACATAACTACCCTGTTCGATAAAGACCAGTCTCTGTTTAGCCACCTAGCATAGCAAGCTGACACTTCTTTCACATGCTTAACTTAATTCCAGGCATCCTAGGAGTAGAACCACCCAGCATGTTTGTCTTGTTAATGCCCCTCAGGTTCCTAACCCAGACTTTGGAGTAAGTAGTAGAGAAAGGATGGTTCAGGGGCCAGGGCACTAGCTTGGGAAACCTAGGTTTGATTCTTTGCTCTGCCACAGACTTGCCGTATGACCCCAGGCAAATCACTTAGTCTTTCTTTGCCCTGGCTCCCCATCTGTATGATGGAGATAATAGCACTTCCTGACCTCCCAGAGGGGTTGTGAGGATAAATACAGTAAGATTGTGAGGCATCCAGATACTATGGCCATACAAGGAGCTTAGCAAGATAGATTAGCACTCCAAAGCATTTGAACAGCAACACACAAACAGGCATCACTTCACCCAGCCACACACTGCACAATTGGGCCCTGCAGGACAGAGAAAGTTCCCATGTTTATGGAAAGTCCTCCAGGATCTTTAATGTTCACGCACAGCAGACAAGTTCTCCATCCTTGCAATTTCCAAAGAGACATGCACATTTTTCTCCCTCCTTTACATGATATAAAATACAGGTTCTCCTCTTGCCACTGATGCACAGAAAGTTCTTCTCTGTTTCCCAGCTCCTCAAGCAAAGCGTTTATCCCTCAGCCTTCCCCTCCTGTCAGTTATTTACTCCACCATTCTGCCCCAGCCCATTTACAAACCGGAGGCTCGAGCAAGAGTGAAGGGCTGAACAAATGGGAGTTTTCATCTGTTTCAGATATTCAGAGTAATGATAGAAGGGATTATCATTCTCTGTTATCAGTGAGGCTGGAAATCTGCCATGATGCCTCTACAACTATCTGCTGGGATTAGGATGCAAGCTGTGACCATTAATCCCCTTGTGCTGGCAGTTCTTGATGTGTCCATGACACAGCAGTGCTGCTCCTGCCAGGAAATCATTCCCTCCACTCCCAGCATCAAGGAACGAATTGCTAGGAGTCGAAGCCTGGCCCCACCGGATGTAGCCGACAAAGTAAAAATGCCTCTGGCCTTGCAATGGTGTTTGTGGTGTTATTTGACCATAGGAGGTTGTGGTAGACAGAACTTCAGATGCTGCCTTTATCAGGGTACACTGATTTAAAAAAAAAAAACCAAAAACTCCATGGCAGCTAGTCTCAGAGCCCAGGTCTACGGACTTAGGCTCCTGGGGTTCACACTACGGTGCTGCAACTTGTAGTGTAGACGTTCCTGCTAGGATTGGAGCTCGGGCTCTGAGACCCACCCTCCTCGCCAGGTTTCAGAGCCTGAGCAGGATCTCTCCTGCCATACACAAGCCTGAGTCGGTCGACCCGGGCTCTGAGACTTGCAAAACTCCACCCCAGCTTTTCTCCTTCCAAGGTTTTGTAGCCCACAAGCCTTTGCATCAGTTCCTGCAGCACATGGAAGGGCCCAGTACCACTCACTCTCCTCCACCGGCCCCTGGCTGCTGCCAGTGGGGGACATCCCACTCTCATTCATTTGCCTTACAGCAGCCCCGAGAGGCTCTGGCAGAGACTGACACCTCATTGTGCTAGAGCTGCCTATACGCAGTAAGAGACAACCCCGATCCCAAGAGCTAAAATCTAACTAGACAAGACGAACAGGGTGGGATGAAAGGAATTGCCATCCCCAGATGAGACACAGGGGGATTAAGTGATTCGTCCAAGGTCACACCAAAAGTCTGAGGCAGAGCAGGGAACTAACTACTGAGTCATCCTTCCTCTCTGGCCCCTGGTATTCATAGGCTCCTAGGACTGGAAGGGATCTTGAGCGGTCATCTAGTCCAGTCCCCTGCACTCATGGCAGGACGAAGTATTATATTACTAAGTATTGGTAGGGAGCAACTGGACACATCCTTTTCATCCTCCTGGAGGGCATGAGTATCTGGTTCATCAGGACCTCGCTGGCGCTGGACCTCTGCCTCCTAATTCTGCCCCCCACCCAGAGAGCACACACTCCTTGATTCAGCAGAATGAGTGAAGCACAGTAAATCATGGATCAGTGGGAGCCCAATAAAGGGGAAGCTGTAGCTTGGCTTAGCTGGTTACCTACTGTCGCATTGCAGCCCATCCTGCCTGGCTGTAAATTGGCAATCCTCCAGTTAAAGCATTAGGAGATCCAGATTCTATAATGGGACTCACTGGGTGACCTTGAGCAAGTCACTTGACCTCTCTGTGCTTCACAGTCCCTGCCTGTACAAGAGGATGGTATTTACCTGCCCTGCAAGGAGGCTGTAAAGCATATTAATGGCTGTGAAGCACTAAGATCTCTGGGCGGAAGGCCCGAGAGAAGGGGAGAGTGTTTATTATTGGTAAATCTGAAAGCCTTCTCTGTATTTGCTCTCTTCACTTGTGCAGACAAGATCTTGGTTCATTGTGCCATGGGACGCAGCCGATCCGCCACCTTGGTCTTGGCTTACCTGATGATTTACAAGAACATGACAGTGGTTGATGCCATTGAGCAAGTGCTGAAGCACCGATGCATCCTCCCAAACCGTGGCTTCCTGAAACAGCTGAGAGAACTGGACATAAAGTTGGCTCTGGAGAGGACAAATGCCAAGAACGGCATCCAAGTCAATGGAGAGGAGCATGGCACAGAGATCTAGCATTCCTCATGCCCTGGGGTTACCGGAAAAACACCTAGCAAGAGAAAACTGGAGTTGGAAAACAATACTGTCAAAAGTCCTTTGTTATAAGTCCAGAGGGAAGAATCAATAGCATCTGAAATGCCTTAAAGGGAATCTCAGGTTGGAGACAAGATAAATGGAGAGAGGAAGCAATCTCGTTAGGGAGCGTAACACAGAATCCCCTCATTTTAGTGCTGTTCTTCAGGGCTCTGCTGTACAGAAGAGAAAAAGGAGGGACTTGTGATGGAAGGCAGTGGCTCTATAAGAACTATAAGGGTGGTGCCCAGTATGTAAAGGATCGGGTAAGCGTGCAAGTCCATGAACTGCGATTCAGGCCCAGCTGCTCCTGCTGCCCTATTACTATAAATGTTGAACGGCTGTTATTTTAATACCATTTGTGAGGGGCTAATTTATCCCACAGCAAACCCACATGTAAAGCCTGACACATTTACTTAAATATAACCACCCCATGGCACAACTACATTTATTATACATGTCATAAGGTGTTAGCTGAATAAGGAAGCATGAGCCCAGCTTCACCTGTGTTGCCTTGGGTTAGCAGAACCTTTCCACAGAGTGACGCACCCTATGATAACTGCCAGTTCAGCACTCACTAGTTTGTGAGTCCATGCTGTAGGATCTAGAGAGAGGGATAGGAGTCCTAAACAGCCTTGCAAAGCCTGAGCCAGAACCCAGAGCTGTAATCCTCCTTTAAACTAACTGGGGTGGGATACATGGGCAGTGGATGAAGCTTCCCCTGGGGGAGGCTAGCTCCTTGTCCCACCTCTTCCACCTGCAGCCCCACCCACACTCCACCCATTCCACCCTGCTCGGCCCCCCCTGCTGCCGCCCACCACATCTCTACTCACTCCCCCGCCCGCTGCGAGACACCCGCACGAACTTCCCCACACACCACTCCCTGCATCCCTCCTCATCCCCACCGCCTCTCGCCTCCTCACCCCGCCACCCACAGCCAGTCACCTCCTCACTCCACCATCCACCATGTCCCCGCTCATCCCTGCCCACCATGATACCCCCCACCCACCGCTGCTCACCTCCCCACTCCACCACCCACCGCAAGAACCCTTCCACCTGCCGCATCTCTCCTCACCCCCCGCCTACTGCCACTCACCTCACTCCACCGCATCCCTCCTCATGCCCGCCTGCCACCACTTGCCTCATTTCACTGCCCACCATGAGACCCACCTGTCCAACCATCGTTCGCCTTCTCACCCCCCACCCGTCGCATCCCTCCTCATCCCCCTGCCTGCCACGCTCACCTCCTCACTCCCCCACCCACTGCAAGACCCCCCTGCCTGCTGTGTTCCTCCTCACCCACCGCCACTTGCCTTCTCACTCCCCGACCTGCTGCTGCTTGCCTCCTCATTTCATCACCCACCATGAGACCCCTCCTGCCCGCCACCTCCTCACTCCCCCACCCACCGCAAGACCCAGCCTGCCACATCCCTCCTCACCCTCCACTCCCATGGGGGAGGGGGAGTGAGGAGGGAGGCAGCAAGCAGCGGGGACCTCCGGGGGGGATGGGGGGGGGGAAATGGAGGGAAGGAGAGGAGAGGAAGAAGACTCCCCAGGGAGCAGCAGCAGGCAGTGGGGGCCTCAGGGAAGAGGTGAGGCCACCACGGCCCAGGTGTCCAGCGGCAGGTCACCGGCAGCTGCACCAGGGGAGGCTTAGCCTTCCCTGGCGTATTATTCCCACCACCCATGGCAGGGTGGAAAAAAGAGACTTTGGGTTTAGCTCCCTGTACCCAAACACAGACTCCCTTCAAACCCCCAAAATCCTAAAGCCAGGCCTGTTGGAAATGAACCAGCGCTGTAACACTGCAGTTTCATCTATTGAGGCTATTATTCTTTGACAAGGCCAAAAGCAGACGTTTATGGGAAGGGTCAGAGATATGATTTGTATCTAATCCGGGGAAAATAAAATGCACTTTGTTTAAGTGTTTGCCATTCTCAGTCTGCTTCTTTGAAGAATGGCCAGTTTTTACTCTGTTCCCACCTTCCCTGCTACTACCACATCCCTGTCTTATTTGCCAGAATACAGTTGACGATAGTCACTAAGAACAGTTTGGGGGCTGGTCCGGAGGGGGTGTCATGCACCAAACACTCTCTCAGCGATGGGGTGCAAGTCACCTGGAAAACATAGTTATGCTCCAGCATCCTAAAGCTTGAATCTATTCTTTGAATATGCAGTACCGAACTCCAGCAGGATACGGTTTGGTTTGGTAAACCGATTCTGGGCAGCTGTTTGATGCTCATAAGGCCTCTTACCATCAACTTTCTTCCAATCGCTATTGGGGAGCGAAATTCCAGAACAGCATTACAAATGGGAACATTCAAGATGGCATCAGACCTAGCAAACTTCTCAACAGGTAGCTACTGTGAGCAGTGGCCGAGGCCATTGCCCATTGCTACAGCCCCCTGCTATAGAAAACATGACAACACAAAGAGCAAAAAATTTGTCGTAACTGAGTTTGGGAAGCCAATGAAACATCCCGAGCTCCCCCCACTGCTGCATGATCAGTGCCACCCTGCCATCCCTCTTCCAACTTCTTTACCAGTTACTGCAAGGTCCTTTTTCCTTTCCCCCATCTCTTCTCCCCAGCCCCTCATCCCCCCAGTTATGGCAGTGCTGGGGGCACATTCCCTCTGTTTGGATTTCTGGGTTTTCCTCCACCTCTATGCTAGTCTATATAGGTTCCCGTACCAAGTTCATCACCGCAGTATCTGGGCCCCTTCCAGGGGTGCATTAAGTAACATGACTAATGTCTGGCCCATTTTTTCTCTCCCCAGGGGGAGATGAGTGGGCAGAGGAGTGTTGTGTTCTGGATTTTTTTTTTTCCAATATACACACACAGTTCATAATATGTTTAGGGTAGAGAAGGCAAAGTCAAAGCAATACACTTCGTGCTGAGAGTGGAAGGCAGCGAGGTTTGGGATGGCCCTTTGCTCCTGTAGGAGCTTATTCTGCCGTCTCAGCCCAGCCCCCAAGAAGCTCTCTCTCTATCCTTATTGTAGAAAGTTCCACCGTGCCAGAGAAGAGAAGTTGCTCAACAGTTCCTGAGGTCCCCTCCATTACCTCTCTTCCTCACCAATTCCTGCATTACAGAGCATCCAATTCTCTCCTCGCTCTCCTCCAACCCTCATTCCATTACTCCAGCACTGGACACCTGTTTCCCCTGCCCATAAGGAAGTTGCACTGTCCGATGAAATAACCACAAGGCAGGAGCCAGGAACCACTGTGTTCTATCCCTAGCTCTGCCACTGGCACAGACTGTGAGCTCTTGGACACATCACCAGCCAGGGTGCACGGATGGGCTGGGGGAGAAGAGATGGTGCCAGGAGACTGCAGTAGCCATTGGGCTGGCTGTGTAGGGGAGAGGAGACATGGATGATGCCAGCCAGGAAGGAGGCACCAAAAAAGGCATTTCTGGGCAGGCCTGGGAACCTGGTCTCCCCAACCCCAGCTCCCTCAGCTTGCTGAGAGGTGTAATCAAGCTCTTAACTTGGCTGCTTGTTTCCCCCTTTTATTCCCAGGGGGATAACACCTACTTCACAAGGTGCTTGAACATTAATGTCTGCGCAGCACTTTAAACGTGGGGCAGGGAACTGCCTTGGGTACCATTAACTAGCCCTCCTCCCTCTTAACTACTGCAGTATGAGGCACCCATTTCTCCCTCACCGGGCACATCTCTTTACCCCTCCATTAACCCCCCAGCCCAGGAATGCAGCTCTAGGGTATGTTATATTCCGGGCCCCATACCCCAGGTAACCCTCCCATTTCCCGCTGAAGCGAAGCTGTTCGGCAAGGTGATACTTTGGAGAACTAGTAGGGACAGTCCCGCCTGCCCCTGGAAGGCGCACAGCCCCGTGTGTCAGAGCGACATGAAGCCTCGGGATCCTGTCTGACTCGCCAATGAGGCTGGATGCCATGCCAGCGCCAATAACTAAAATCCCTCTTCCGCCACCTGCTTGCTAGGAACCTTTGCTTCTCCCTCCGGGATGAGGACCTGGCCAGGCTGGTCCTGCAGGATTCCTGTCATTCACTATATCAGGATGTGAGGGTGAGAACAGCCCTCAGACTCCAGCTGGTATAAAATGTGGCAGTAATCACCTTCATGGCTTAGGCCACTGTGGATGTATCTAGTCTTTGCGCCAGTTCCTCCTCGGTCCCCCAGACAGCTGCTGCTCCGAGTTTAGAGCCTTGGTCATAATCATCAAAGCCAGGAATGGATCCGCACGCACCTATGTTACATACTGCATTGCCAGCCATCTGCCACCAGGACAGTCAGGAACAATGCAGCTCATAAAGCCCAGCATGAAGTATGCCAGAACCAGGGACAAAGTATTCCCAAGCAGATTTGGCTGTAGAAGGAACTTCTGGAGGACAGGAGATGACTTCAGAGTCTAAAAGCCTTTAGGAATGTTGCAATCACTTCCTCTTTAATAACGCTTTTCCTCCATAACTGACGGTCACAACTTCAAACCACCTCCTGTTCCAACCATCCACTCCCACTCAAAATCCTACCCCAGCAGAACTTTCTATAAGAAGGAGCCAGAGACTTCATGAAGTACATCAGGGATGTTACTGTTCCCAATCTATTTTACACGGAAGGTGTTCAGATGCTCCAGTGATGGGCAACAGCACAACACCGCCACCAAATAGATCAATTTAATCACACAGAAAGTGAGTGCTGGAGGGTTTCCTGACCTGGAAGCTGCTGGGCAGCTAGCTAGCCAGCCAGCCAACCATCTCATTTGTGCCACCTCCTGGCTTCTCTGTTTTTACTCTCTTCACGTGACAAGCTCTAGCAGAGCAGCACGCAGAGAACACACAGATGAAGAGAGTCGCGCTCTCATTCTGCACAGCAGCTTTTGGAACAGGGCACAAAAAACAAAACAAAATAAAAACCAACAGCAACAACCCCCTCTCCCTCCCCCCCGCACGACATCTCCTGAGCAGGTCAGGAGCACAGCAAAAAATAGGAAATAGAAATACTGCCAAAATACACAACTGTCAAAATTACACATAGCACATCTCTTGTATGTTGCACCATCTAGTTTTAACAGGCTTTTGCTAAATGTTCGAAGCGTCCAAATGTCAGAAGGCTCACTCCTAATGAGTTTAAAGGTTCTGTCTACCATACATGATTGACTGGGATACAAGACAACGAACGAAGTTAGGAGAGAAAGATGTCCCCTTATTGCTAAGGGCTTTGTTCTCCTGGAGCAGCACTCGAAACAAATTTAACTGCTCAAACAATATACGTTCTCTCTCTTGAGCAAACTGCTATTTCCTTTGGGCTGCTAAGGAGTGGTTTATGCTTAACATTATAAACAACCATGCT